CACGCGAATTGAGCTATGTTTCACGATTGGAAAGAAGATCTCATTGTAGTCAATCTCACCTTGAACCTAACATCTTTCACTTCTGGAATACCCTCTTTTTTTTGTAGACCCATTTGCATCTAACTGTCCTCATCCCCCTTTGGCCTTTTAACTAAGACCCATATCTCATTTTTTTGAAGAGACTACATCTCTTCCATCATGGCTAACTGTCATTGTGCAACATCTCAAAAAGTTGCCTTAACATACAAAGAGGGGTCGAGATCCTTAACCTCTACTTCTGCAGCTACGAACGCATGTACAATTAGATTTTCTTTCTCTATAAGACGTTCCAATTTTTGTATCTGCCTTTTGTCCCTTCCCTTTGCAATTGTGTATGGTTCATTGACACCAAGTTCTTCAAGATCTGCATCTTTTGACTCATCAATTTGAGTCTCTTGATCTCGTTCCTTGGTAAGATCCATCGGTAGCTCCACCTGCTTGTTGTTTTCATTTCTTGATAACTCCACAGAAATTTTACGAGGATCAAGTATATAGGATTCATCAAAGGTAATATCTCTAAAAACTACAAATTTGAGTAAAGACAAACACCAAAGTTTGTACCATTTTACTCCATCTATATACCCTACGAATATGACCTTTTTAGCCCTTGGTTCAAGCTTTCCTTCATTAATATGATAATAAGCTGGACACCCAAATATTCGCAAGTATGAATAGTTAGAGGGTTCACCTGACCAGACCTCATTCAGAGTCTTAAAGTCAATTGTTGATACTGGAGATCAATTGAAAATATGAGAAGCGGTATGAACTGCTTCAACCCAAAATACTTAAGACATCTTGGCTTGTAAGAGCATACACAAGCCTTCTCGAGAAGAATTTTATTCATTATTTCGGCAACTCCATTCTGTTGTGGTGTGTGCCTGACCGTCTTATGTCTTGTGATCCCATGAACCTTGCATAAATCATTGAAATCTTCACTACAAAACTCCAAGCTATTGTCTGTGTGAAGATACTTGATTTTTCTCTCCATTTGATTTTCAACCAAAATCTTCCACTCTTTAAATATTTCAAAAGCATCAACTTTTGTCTTCAGGAAACGCATCGAAACCTTTTGTGAAAAATCATCAATGAATGTGAGAAGATACCTCTTTCATCCCTTCGATGGAAGCTTAGAGAGACCCCATAAATCTGAATGGATGTAGTCTAGCACTCCTCCTGTCTTAAGTTAGCCGGAGCTGAAGCTGACCTTTTTCTGTTTCCCTAAGACGCAGTGCTCACAATATTCAAGTGTGTTGATCTTCTTACCGCAAGTGTGTAAAGTCCATCTTCCAGCTTGGCTTTCAGCATGAGTAAAGATCATTTAGTCACTTTCATAGTTCCTCCTTTACTCATGTACTTATAGCCTTGTTTATCCAAAGTACCCAGGGAGATCAAATTCTTCTTCAGATCAAGAACATGACAGACTTCTATAATAGTCCTCATGATCCCATCATCACAGAGAACACGAACTGATCCAATGCCAACTATTTTACAAGTTGCATTAGTTCCCATTGATATAGTTTCGTTGCTTGTTTAATAGATGTTGAATCAATCTTTTCGGAATGTCATTTGCACAGTACAACCAGAGTGTAAGACCCATTTGTTGTCATAGACTCCACTATTACATGATGTTGTTAATACATAATCATCACCATTATCATGTACTTACTCAACAATTAATGCACTCGTCTTTTCTTTGGACTTCGACAAAAGACAATCTCGTTCAAAGTGCCCCTTCTTTTAACAGCCCCAACACTCCCCCGTTCTTTTTGTTCACACGAGATTCTGATTTGTACTTTGATTTTTTCCTTCTCTGTTGGCTAGTATGACCTCTTACAAAGAGTCCACTAGCTTCGTCACTTTTGCTCAAAATCCATCCGCACATTGCAAGAGTTTAATGCTTGTGGCACTTGCTCAAGTTTGATAGGTTGTTTGCTATACATTATTGAATTCTCAATATCACGATATTTTGAAGTCAATGGAAATAGCAAAGAACATGTAATCGTCTCCTCGTCCTTTTTAATTCCAGCAGTTTGTAAGTCCATCACAAGTTTATTGAACGCATCTAGATGGTCTTGCAACAAACAACCTAAATCCATCTTAAGTGTATGAAGATGCCGTTTCAACGACATTCTTGTTGTCACTGACTGGTCCTGGTAAAGCCCTTCCAGCTTTTCCCATAACTCATTGGCCGTTTGCTTTGGTACTTCTACTCGCTTCAAAAAGTACTTTAGGTGCAAGGGACAGTTGAATTACACTCAATGCATCTCCTTCAATATTCTCCTTGTCGAAATCCGATATCTTATCGGGGCATTTTCCATTAATAGCATGGATTGAACCTTCCCTCCATAGTAACGCAATCATCTGGATTTCCCAGATATTAAAGTTGTTGCGTCCACTAAATCTATCAATTTCAAACTTCATACGACTCATTTTTTTATTTGGTCTTCCTTTTCTACTACAATGTATTTGGAACTACAAAAAATCAAAGTAATTCTTTTCTGTTGTTGAAGTTTAGACCGTGCTGTAACCCCATAGCATACTCAGGTAAAATCTTAGCTCTGATACTAATTGTTAGCGAAAACGTGAAATTAAAGAACAAGGAAGAACAACAATATTTAACATGGTTTGGATCAAAATGATCCTACATCCATTAAAGTACAATTGCACCAATATGTATTTCATTTTACAAATAATACAAGTGAAATACTACTAGAGAGAGAACACAAATGCCTTAAAAGGTGAGAAGTCAAGTGAAAGGATGATTTGAAAATGAATTAAGAGCTACCTATTTATATGAATGATTTCATCATATTGATGTCATCCATGACATCACTATATGTCAAAAATGTCAAGGTTAAGAATATGAAATCATTTTATGGCTACTAAGATACTATCATGATTTTTATTTTGTACTAATTATCTTCCTACCAAATATTCATGTTAATTCATCTTCCATTTAGTTTTATTACACAAGAACCAAATCAACTCTTTCAGCTAGGATTGTATTGCGTAATTTATTATTAAAAACTAATTAAAAGGCTTAGAATTATATGGCAGAAACTTACCTTAATGTTGGAGGTATAAGGGTGCCTTGATATAATTTGGGTGGCGTAAGATTCGATTACAAGACCTTTGTCGGCTCTAATATCAAGTTGAAGTGTGTGATCATCTCATCTAAAAGTTTTAACTATTAGAGAGAGCATACTTTAATTAGTAAATGATATTTTTAACAAGAACCACCAGAATTGGATCCTTAGATGTGTTCTTCAATTCCTTGGAATTGTACTTCACGAGACGGGTTTTATTTCTGTTAGGATTCTTGGAGGTTACTCTACACTCTAGATCATGTCGTTATAAAAGGCTAATATATATTCCTCAAAGATGCATCTCGAGTATCTCATAAATTCTTGGATATTTACAAAAAGATCGTGAAAATATCAAATGTTCTCTTGCAAATTCTTACTACTTCTAATGGAGCTTGCAATGAGAGAAGACATGTTGGATTCTTCAAGGAGACTGAAATTAATCTTTTGACGATTGAGTTGAATGTTCGCGACTTTAATTAGTAACCACGATCATTTTTATATCTATGAAGTTAGGCTTATATAAATTGTCTATAATAGTAGAGATCAAACGTGCAACGCACGTTTCCAAGAGTAGTGTATATATAAATGTGTAGACAATATTTGAATGAAATAAGTGAACAAGTGCATGTAATTAACAGCAGCTCTTTCATCTATCCTCAGAATGTTCAATATATTTTCCATCTTTCTATATTTAGAATTAATAACCTATAACTGATATATACTGCTTCTTAGAATGTATTTTTTCACCCTAATCATATTGAATAAGTGGGGAGGACATAGTAAATGTAAAGAGTTTGTGGAATTTATTTTTCATTACTTCCACTAAAAAATCATTTTTTCTTATTTTAAAAAATTATTTTCATAAAGAAAATATTTTTCGAAAATTTAGACAAACAACCGAACACACACTAACTCAAGGGTTTGATTGGAAAAGGACATGTCCAGGAGCGGCTCAAGCATATTAGTGGCCTAAAGCAAAAATCAAACGGGGCCTTAAACTGAATAGTTATTAATTTTTATATGATTGATTTCTTCTAATTTTCAATTGATAATATATCCTTTCTTATTTTAAAATATTTTTTAGAGATACAGTAATCCAAATAAGTCAAATTTCTTCTAATAATTCTTTCATTTTTCATAAAAAGTTTACTTTTTCTACAATTCAATATTTTTTTAAGGGATAATGCACAAGTACCTCCTCAACCTATGCCCGAAATCCCAGAGACACACTTATACTATACTAAGGTCCTATTACCCCCTGAACTTATTTTATAAGTAATTTTCTACCCCTTTTTAGCATACGTGGCACTAGTTTTTTTTAAAAAAGTCAACAATCGTTGGGCCCACAAGATAGTGCCACGTAGGTCAAAAAGGGGTAAAAAATTATTAATGAAATAAGTTCAGGTGAGTAATAAGACCTTAGTATAGTATAAGTGTGTCTCTGAGATTTCGGACATAGGCTGAGGGGGTACTTGGGCATTATCCCTTTTTTTAAAAATTATAACTTATAAAAATTCAATATCCTTTTTTTTTTTTAATACTGTCGAGCCACCCCTGAACATGTCTCATTTTCTAGTACAATTGTAATACTAATCCAAAATTCCTATCAACTGTCAAACCGTGTGTTAGTAACAAGTGAATGAATTAATGGGACTGTAGATCAATAAGAGTGTAGATCATATAAAAAGTGTAAATTAAAACTTAAACGGGGCAGGGCGGGACAAGTAACACTATTGAAAATTTTTTAAATGGGACGGGGTAGGGGGGGTTTAACTCTTAGCGGGTTGAGGTTTGCCCCGCCCTAACCCACCCGAACCCAAACTATTGCCATTCCTAATTGTAAAAAGTTAAATTACAAAATTTGTAAACAACGTATACATAAAAATTGATTTGAAAACTCTAAATGACTCTATATTACAAATTTTATTGAGTAACATTCGTGTAAAAGCACAACAAAGAAAGTATACATATAAATTTATTAGAAAACTATAGATCGATTTAGATCATAAATTTTATTGAGTCACTCTTGCATCAAAAACATACTTGATAATCATGACCATTTCAAGTCATGGTTCCAAGGAGTTTAGTTATGCATCTTGTTATGGGAGCACATACAATTTTGAGATCCAAACTCATCTGCTAGACAAGGAGGCTGAGTTTTTCCATCCTGAAACCACCTCTTCCTCTCTTGCATTAGATCTTTGAAGAAACTGTCTATAGTTTCTCTTGTAATACCTGGCATAACCACAACATGTGCCATGCCTCTTAAGTAACACAAGTTCCAACGATGAATGAATTTATGGTCACAAGATCGTTCAAAAATAACAGTAATACTAAACTCATTCAGCATAACACTAATTCCTGCTTCAAGAAGTCGATCTTTCAAATACCGAGCATTTTCAATGCATGTTATGGAATCTTGTTGCAATCTAGCATGTCCTTTCTTGCTTAAACAGTACCATAAGAATATTGGTGTAAATCCATTTCGACTACCAGAAATTGTAGCATCTGTGGAATTAATATACTCAATTTTTGAGTGGGTACTAACATAAGTTTTCCTTGTTATCTGAATGCCACAAGGCATTGGACATCCCAAGAATTTGTGCCCTGAAATTGAAATACTACCAATTGGCTTCTTGAAGGTAATTTTTTTTGCCTATTGTCAAATACCATAAAAAGAAACTATGTCATTGTAACTTTGATCAATAAACGTTGAAGGAAAATTGAATAAAAATAAGCTTACATGTTTGATAAATGGGAGAATTAGCCCACATAATGCTGCATCGCAATGGATATAATAATTGTCATTTGAATAACCACAATTTTCAAGTGTTTGTATGACGAAATCGAGGTCATCAATAGCTCCTTTGAAGGTTGTTCCTATAAACACATATATACTAATTTAACAAAAATGATGTTATAAGATGTAAGAATATATATGTATGTATTTTTACCAATATTGATATTGATGATAGCTGGTTTGTTCTTGTTGACAAGTAACTTTGATTGTAAATCTTCATAATCAATTTCCCCATTAACTAAAGTGTTGATAGTTTGTAGCTCCATTCGATACATTCTTGCTGCTTTGAAAATTGAGTAATGTGAATCTTTTGATGCATATAATATCCCACTTGGAAGTAGCTCTCTTCTGCACAAATATATAATAATGCATAGTGAAAGTGATAAAAGCACATTATATCATTTAGACATCTCCGACTATATAAATAAATTCGTAGCTCAAAAACTAGATTCGCCTCTGAAAGTGAAACCTACCCAACCAAAAGGCCATGGAGATTGCCCTCAGTGCCACCACTAGTAATGTATCCCCAATATTCATCTTTCTCTATTTCCCAGAGTTGTGCAAACCAATCTAATACAGCCACTTCAAAATCTTTTGAATGAAAATCTGTAGGGTGCTGAGCAAAGGGGTCTCCAAAATTGTTCAAATGAAATTGCAAAAGTGGGGCTAAAGTGGCATGATGCTCATAATGCATGTTTGTTGGATAACCTGTAAATTAAATAACCAAAGATATAATTATGAATAAAATCGTAACATATTATTTGGCCAAATCAAAAAAAAAAGAAAAATTAAAAGATATGTAAAATAAAGTTAGGGATGATTTATTAGTGTATAACTTTTGATTAATTTTGCTTATAAATACTTTTATGTTTATTACACAGGTAAAAATAAATGAAAATGTATTTATTTAAATAAAATTGAGATTAAATTACCTCGATGCTAATGCTTGTATAATTCCGTTGAGTAAAAAGTAACTATGTTTGTACGGAAAGACTATACATATTCATATCCTTACCTATATGATACTTCTTCCGTTTTGACAATGTCTCTAAATATTGAGTCAAAATCATGTCAAGTTTTTGAAAAGACGTTTCATTTTTTATATCGGATTCCACCACACTGAGACATAAATTCTTCCTTGGCGATAATGGTGCATCAATTTCACCTTCTGTTGGAACTACCGTTAAATCAAACTCCTAGGTCATAAAAATAAATAAATAAAATTAAATCTAAAATATGTTTCATTGTTTAAAATAATCAATAAATTAATCATGAGTATATGATTGAAACTTAAGATAGACATATATAATTAAAACAATATTAGAAAATATGATACCTTTTGAATTTCCATTCTTAGAGATGAAAGTTTTGTGAGTCTCACTATCTTTGGCTCCTCCAATTTATAACAAATGAATTAAGTTGCTTTGCGTTTTAACCCTTTTTTTTTTTTGGTTGAATATTGAAGTGAATTAACACCTGTCAAAGTTGGTGCATCCAATTAAGTTAAACAGTTTTATAATAATTGGTAGTGTTTGAAATAAACAAATATTATTTTTATTTTCAAGCTAAAATTAATATAGGTACTCATGCGATGCACGTAGACTCTTTTATATTTGTTTTATATTACACATGTTTTCTTACACATTAGCAATTTTGTTCGTGTTTTAAAATGTTTGAAAAAAAAACATTAGTTACTAAATTTATTAATTTTGGCTACTATTTTTCATTCCAGATTTTTTCTAGTCTAATTTGATTGCTTTGGAAAAGAATTGTGATGCTTAAAGAGAAGAAAAAATTGAATCCTCTCACTTCTAAAAAATATATTACTAAAAATTTAGAATTTTACAATTGGAAAAAAGCAACGAGAAAGATCAATATAAAATATTAAAATAACATTACAAACAAATTATTTTCTGAGTACCAACTTTATGTGACATTTTTTGTTTTCGAGAGTCAAATAATATGTTTTTTGATTGAAAATTTGTGCATGAAATCTTTAATTCTTTTTAAAAATTAAATTTATATATTTGTAAACTATATAAAAAGTACTACAATGCATAATAATTAACAATTCAAAATAATTAAATAATATATGAATAATTTATAATTAAAAAATAGACTTATTTGAATTTCAAAATTTAAAATATGTGACATCACATGAATTGAAACAACGAGAGAAGAAGATTTCTTCAATTATTCACAAATTTAAAGAATCAAGAAATAACTTTTTTTTATATTAAATATTATACTTTAATATTAAATACATTTTTCACAGTATTAAATTTAATATATTTAAAGGATAACTTAGTCATATTATTTCTATTATTTATTAAATACTTTAAAATATGTGTCAAATCATTACTGAAAAGGCAGAGTATAAAATAAATGGCTACATTCACTTCATTAGGATGAAAGAACTGCAAATTTAAATATAGTGAATTTATTTTATTTTTTAAGAAAAAAACAGATGAAGGAAAAACAAATGTTGGCCGAAGAGACGTCTTAAACTCCTAATGTCTTAAGCTATATTTAGATTCTAATACAGATTTATGTTATTTTATTGCATAATGATTTAAGATCAAATTACTTCTTAACTTTTTTGCTAATATACATGCATTTTTTTTTAAATATGCTCTATCATACAACCTATTAAGTATAATTTAATTTTTATGATGTTGTTGCTGATATTAATTGTTTGTGTAACGATCTGTTAGTCGTTTTGAGCAGTAGAATTTATTTCTGGTAATAACTGTCTGGGTCGACGGATCCCACGACGGACCGTCATGGGCACGACGGACCGTCGAGGGTGTCCCGTTCCAAAACACTTAGAATTCTGAAAAATTGGGTACTGAGAACAATTCTCTGAACTTCGCGACGGAAGAGCAGGACGGACCGTCGTAGGCACGACGGACCGTCACAGGGTCTTAAAATAAAAATTGAGTCTCTGAACTCTGTGACGACTCAGCAGGACGGACCGTCGCAGGCACGACGGCCCGTCACAGACTGCGTAACCCTGACTGGGTCAGATTTCTGTTAAAAGTTTTAAGGGGCGTTTTGGACTATTCCTGCTTATAATTTTAAAGTTAGTGGGTGAATGTTAATAATTCAATTACTTGGGGGTTAAAGGAGATAACCTTGAATTAATTAGTGGGTTACTTTGGTCATCTTTTATACTTAATTATATGGTAATTAGGGTAAAAGAAAAAGAGTTTGAATAAGGAAAAATAGAAAAAACAGAAGAGGAAGAGAGAACGAGCGAGAGAAAGAGAAGAACGCAGCTTTGGGAAAGTAGCTTGCTTGATCGCGAATTCTTTGGTGGAGGTAGGTTATGGTTTTTATGCTATTTCGTAGTAAAACTCTTAATAGCAAATGATACGTATTGGGTAATTTTGTAAAGTCTTCTATATGCTTAATTGTGTGCTTGCATGATATGATTATGTAATTGTGATGAATTAGCATGATGAGGCTGTTGAATCTTACACCTTAAAACCTCTCTATTAATGATGATGTCTTGGTATAAAAGAAGGCTTGATGAACTAAAAGAATGAGGTTAGGGGACTGGGTGTCACGAAACGACACATAGAATTAGGGGATCGGGTGTCACGAACCGACACATAGTATTAGGGGATCGGGTGTCACGAACCGACACATAGTATTAGTGGATCGGGTGTCACGAACCAACACATAGTATTAGTGGATCGGGTGTCACGAACCGACACGTAGTATTAGGGGATCGGAGTGTCACGTTCCGACACAAGAGGAATAAAGAGAATGAATCTTGAATTATGTTAATATACTCAAATTAATGAACCTATTTCCCCAAATGAGTATGGTATGGAGGCTTGAGTCCTCATGGGTGTACTTGGCGTTGTTATCAATGATTCTTGTACTTGTTGTTGCTACCTGTTGAGTATTGTAGTTGATTTTATGATATTATCTAATATATATATTGCTTTCTATTTTGAGTTGGCCGATGATATCTACTCAGTACTCGTGTTTTGTACTGACCCCTACTTGTATGTTTTCTCTTTGTTATTTGTGGAGTGCAGCAAACGTACCGTCGTCTTCAACTCTAGCCAGTCTTCATCACGTCGGATTTCAGGGTGAGCTATTGTTTCTAGCTTGGACTGGATCTTCTTCTTCATATCTTGATGCCTTGAAGTTCTGGCATGGACTAGCTGTTTAGTTATTTTAGCTTCTTAGATACTCTTAGATTTAGTAATTTGAGGATAGATGTTCTTGTGATGATGACTTTCAGATTTTGGGGATAATGATAAGTTTTGAGCTTTAGAAGTTATTTAATTGATTTCGTTAATGTGTTTTAAGTCTTCCGCATTATATTCTGCCTATTATGTTTGAAATGTTGGGGTTTAGATGGGTTGGTTCGCTCACATAGTAGGATAAGTGTGGGTGTCACTCACGGCTCGTTTTGGGTCGTGACAGTTTGACTCTTTGGCTGTATTACAAAAATTGAACTCAAACAAATCAGATTAATTTGATATAATATTTGATACACACTATGAAAAAAATAAAATTTCAAATTGAAATTCAAAAATCGAATCAAAACAACAGATACCCACTCCAAAACTTTATTAGGATGAGAACCTGCAAAATTAAATCAGTATTTATGAGTCTTAAATCTGTCAATGACTTATATAGGGGAAAGGTACATGTAAGGATTAAAAAGTCAGAACAAGAAAAATGTTCGCCAAAATTAGTCCTAATGTCTAGGCTATATATTAGGTGTATAGATTTATTTTATTATATTGCATAATAAATATGATTAAATTACTAATTAGTAAAATATCTTTTAAGCTTTGTATATCGAAAAAAGATATAATAATTAAGAAACATTTTATAGGCTTTTTATCGTATCATATAAATAAAAATAATTATGAAAAATGTCAAAAATGTTATCAAATCAAGCTCATAATATAATAGAAAGAGAAGAAGATAGGAGAAGTAAAATGGAAGAGAGAACTTTTCTTCTTATTCAAGTATATTATCAAATGGTGAGTGATATCTCTACTTATAGTGTTGAGATATCACTCTCAAAGGTCACCACATTAATAGATACATAGTTATCTCTTAAGGTTTTTATCACCTTGGAAACACTTATACATGATCCAATTAATTGTTGGATAACTCTTATGTATCATCCAAATAAAACAATAGATTTATAACACTCCCCCTTTGATGTCTATAGATAATGTGCCTCGTTAAAACCTTACTAAGAAAAAAAATCCAGTGGAAAAAAATTCTAGTGAAGGAAAAGAGTACACATATCTTTTGATACACATTATTTGTTGCCTCATTGAAACCTTGCCAGTAAAATTCAGTGCGACAAAACATCGGTAAAGGAAAAAACAATGCAACGCGTATTATATTCTCCCTGATTAAAACATCACTTAATTTCTTGTGATGATGTCTCCAATCTTCGTACATTGTGGTTGGTATATTCTTTTTCAAGGAAAAACCACACATTTCCTGAATATGGTGTCATTTATCTCAACCAGACGCACTTTCGACTTGCTTCATGGAGGGCTTTTATTTCTGCATAGCAACACTTGCTGCATATAAAGTTGCATCAAAGCTTTTTTGTGAATGTTGATTGATGGACAAATATTTTATTCGTCAAATTTTCAATCTTAGGTCAAGATAAAATTTTGTCTTTCCAGAATCTTTTCATTTTATATTCCCTTCTCAAAAAACTCAATAGCTTTTAAAAGCTCCTTAAGAGTGTTAGTAATTTCAAGTCATCTACATACACAATTTATAACAAATTCAGATCCTGAACTTTTCATAAAATTCAAGGACAATAATGGTCATTCTTTTTGTACTCTTTTCTTCCTTGATTATTTCAATCCATATAAGAATTCTTGAAGTTTTATAGAATAAGTTTCATTCAAACTTTTATATGCTTCAAACACCTCGATTACTTCAAGAATCTTTATATAAGCTTCATTATTGTCTAGCTAGACATGATAATTATTCATTATTTGCATTCAAGTTTTTCATATATTGTCAGATCAAAACAAACCCCAATGCATCCACCATAGGAGAAAAAATCTCCAATAGTCAGGGATTTTGCGACAAACGTTTCTGCCCCAAGGCACAAGTTGTACTTGATATTTTGATTATACCATGACATAATAATTTATTGTGCCCCACTGACATTATACCTTGATTTATGGACTATCAGTCCAAAACGTCACTTTTCTAAGTGAAACAATATACTTAAATTATGCATTTACCTTGGCCAATTATTTATCTGTCCACACTTTATGACAGATTTGAATTCAAGATCCTCGTTACAATTTATATCATTGAGCGCTACCTCATACCAAAGATACCTTCGATGGTTATTTGATATCGATTCCAATATGACATAAATTATCGAGATCTCTTCATTTTTCATTATTTTTTAGGTTCCTGAATCTTTTCCAAGGTTTTATGAAGTGTTATATTGTGGTGCTCTCTTATAGCACTTGCCTCATTATCATGATCATATTGATCATTTGCTCCTCTCTTTTGTCAA